TCGTGCACCACTAGCACTCCGCAGCGTAAAGCTAAACACTGAAGTGAACAGTAACATTAACGTTGTACTGTACTGCCATAAAACATCCAAGTCACACCAAACGGAGTAAATTGTAAAGTCACACACACACACAATTTTTTTTATTTGTGACGTTACGGCATTTATTTAATTTTACGAAAGGTCAAGAAAAAATGTAAGACCTTGGTAAACAAAATTTAATATTTTGTAGCCTAAATGAAATTTAATACTTTTAAGGCCTTATTTTTGGAATATGAAATTTAAGACTTTTTTAATACTTTTAAGACCCAGTTTTAAAGCAGTGTGTACATTGTAAAGCACAATATTTCAGTCATTTCCAGACCTCAGATCTTGTGGAAGGAACTGCAGCAAAACTAACAACACTGTAGACTTTGCAGAATACAAGTTGCAATTGGAAAAAATCACTAGAATTGTATAATTACAGGGTGGTTGTTAGTCTTTCATTTTCAAACTATGTGCGTATCAAATGAAAAAGGAAGAATGATGTTTGTAACCCAGAGGCGACTTTATGCTGGCTGAAGTTAGCTTCCTGCTCTGGCAGAAAGCAGCAACCACCTGCTTTTAATTATTAATAACAGGAAAGGGGAACCTCATATGGAAGCATGGAGGCTGATGATTACTGGGCTGCATGAATGTGCATGTGTCCAGTTTGCATGTGTTTGTGAACCTAAGGATGAGCATTTGATTAGGTGGAGCAGTATCTGATTTGTATATACAAAATGTCTCTGTGTCAGCTGGTGGCCTCTGCGTAGCCCCACAGAGGTAATGGGTGAGATTTGTTGGTGTACTACTTTTGTTTGTCCAAACAGTGGGGTTTAAGGAGTTTGATATATGGACTCATAAAAAGTAGAATAGAAAACTGGGCATTCCTGTGAGAAAATTGATCCAAAGATTTTTTTTTAAAAAGAAAAGAAAGATTAATTGCACAACCCTACACACTACTCTTATCAATACTGTTTACTGGTTCCTTTTCACAGGCTGTGACACACGTACAGGGGAGGAGGGGATGGTTAGTCTCAAAATTGTAATACACAAGACTAATTAAGCTAGAAATTCTGATTCATTACCAATCAATCCACACATACAATGTAATTATCTATAAATCATTGTCACCTGAACTGAATCAGATTCTGACTTGTCTTGCAGTCCATGGAGTTCCTACTATAGATAAGACACATTTCCATGTGTGAAATTTTAGGTGATGATTGTCAAGTAATTGCAAATAACAATTTAATTGTATTTTTCGGGTAGTTTTGTACCACACAGGGATCCAGGGGTCCATGTTAATAATTTCTATGCCTGCTCATCAAAACATGGCTGCTGGCAAAGAGGGTCAGTTAACAGTTTGCACACATGCATGTTCTGTAATAACTTTCACCTCTTGCTCTAGTGCAGAGATTTATTTTAAATAGCTTGTTCTAAAAGTGAAAGCTAATCAATGTAGAAGGACACTTTTTTCATTTTATAAATGATATTTATTTAAGTTAATATCCAATTGGGAAACTAAGCCATGTTTCCATTCAAGCATATTCATGCAAATGATGGAATTAGAAAAGCTGGATGGAAGCACCAAAATTTGACAAAACTTCCACAGTGTCGCTATAAGGCTTTACACTCACTTGAGGTGTTTCCTTTTGTTTTTGTTTTGAGTTCATGTGACGTATAAACAAGAGAGACGCATTTGTCAAATACATGATGACGTTGCCAATATAACATCACAAATTAGCTGTTTGGTCTGATTACATTGCACAACAACCATAAACTGGGCTGAAATATACTAAAATGAAGCAGTGCAGGACTGTCTGTAAATGATTTGTTGTTCCGTCTGGAACGACCAGATTTTTATGCTGAGAGAGTGCAATAAGCTCTAGGCACTGTTTCCTGATAACTAGGACCTCTGTTTTTTCTTGATGTAGTTTAAGGAAAGTTTAGGCTGTATTAATTTCAATAACCTATATATTAGGTCTCATCGATTTATAAACATAGCATTTCACTACATTGTCACTAGATGGAGCTGCTGCTCCAGCTGAAATAAATGTATTTGTCAGTCTGGGATCCTCATTCATCATTTCCTAATCCTTCCTATATCAGAAGCATTAAACTTAAGGCCTAAACACCTGTGTTACGTTTTTATTTTGTATCGTTGCTGTTAAATCAGTTTATGAGCTGTCATCACCTTCTTTGTGCCTGTGAGGTTGTTTTGTGCACCTTCCAAGATTCACTGTCTTCTCAAAGAAACATTTAGTAGCTACTGGTAGAAACACTTTCAGTCTGCACCCATGCTCTTTTCAACCCACTGCATCATTTTAGTCTCTGAGATAGATCCGTTTGATGCTTTTCACACAATGTCCCTGATTCCTGCTTTATGTAACAGGTACACACACATCTTGTAACATTTACTGAAGACAGTTATAAACTCAAAACCAGACAGCTACAAATACACGTGTAAGAAGAAAAAACAAGAGAAACAGTGCAATAGTGAAATTATAATAATACACAAATAAACATCACGTGTAAGAATAATGCAAGGGGCTGTCTACATTCAGTTTTTAATTATTAAATTAACAAAAGAAAGGCCAAAAAATGAGGAGGATGTTATATTCAAGTTATTTAAAATAAGTAGTTTACAAAGGGGTTCTAGTTGCCTGTTTTTTATATTGAAACTTAAATGAAGGCTTAACAATATATAACTGGCTGAATGTCATGAAAGTGAAGTTGTGAAGTTCTTTCCTTACTTATTTGAACATATTTGAAAGAATACAGTTCCCTATTTCTCTTAGGTTTTTTCCTATCTCACCATTACAATTGTACTTCATTCTCCACTAAAAATATTACACTGCTTTACAAGATATAAAGTAACATTTTATGTGAAACTTATTTCAGATTTTTCATTGTTGCATTTTTGTTGAGGACATGGATCGAAAAGTGACATCCCTGTACTTTTAAGCTGAATACGATATATAAAATATATTGGGGTATTTTTTACTATTTATAGTAGCTAGTTTCTTATTTCACCGTTTTGATTGTACAGTTTCCACCTTATTTAAGTGTCACTCACTTATTGAATCTGCCTTCTTTCCCTTCAATTTTTATATCAGAACTTGTCTTCTGGACTTTTCCACCCGTTCTCATCAGCAGCTGCGCCGCATGTTGAGGAGGCGTGTTAACGACGTAGCCTATCAAAACAAAACCAAGCTAATGAATGACATCTGCACTGGTGTGTTCACTGTCACTTGCGGGGCTGCACGGTGAGGGAGAGAGAGGAGCAAACGCTGGCAGGAGTTTTTCTCTTAAGGTTTTATTATTTAGGACATGAGGTTAGAAAGTGCAGCTCTATCTCCGCCTGTCCTCTGTCTCACTGGGAGCAGAGTCTCTCCTCTTCTGGTAGTCGGTTCCCTTTTCTATGGCCAGGCTGTGTTCAACCAGTCCGTATTTTGTCAACACGTTTCTTAGTTTAGGACATTTTATTGTGCTCAGGTAATTTGCCTGTGTGAATTCTCTTTTTAGGGCCAGATAACATTGTAATTTACTTTGTATTTTGGTCGTTTCTTTACAGTATTCAATGTATTTTTCTTTTGGCTTGTTGATAATTTGGTTTGGTCTGCTTGAGTTGGCCTCACCTCTGTGGTCATGGAGTGATTTGAGTGCCTAAATCCATCCCAGACCCACTCCTGGACCCGCCTACAGAGCCAACAGGATGCAGTAAACATGGCCAGTCACTTTATCCTCCAGCACCTGGACTCCATAGGAACCTATGCCAGGATCCTGTTTGTGGATTTCAGTTCCACCTTTAACACCATCTCCCCAGCACTGCTACAGGACAAGTTCTCCCAGCTGAGTGTGCCTGACTCCACCTGCCGGTGGATCACACATCCTGTCTGACAGGGGGCATCACATAAAGCTGTGAAAAACTGTCTCTGACACCCGGATCATCAGCACCGGTTTCCCTCAAAGCTGCGTCCATTCAATCAACAATCAACTGGAGAAAAAGATGGTGTTTGGTACTATGAATGGATCATAAAGGAGAGGAAGACAGCAGACAGAGAGATGCTGGACGATATCAAGGAATGGTGCCAGACAGATATGCACACACTCAGTTGGATGGCACAAGACGTGATACGTGGGGGTGGACTGTCAGGAATGCCCTGGACAGCAACAGGCGTGGGCTCATGGAATGATGGATGGATACTCATATTATACATTTTTGTACATGTAAATCCTATAAATATATCCCATAAGTATATTTAACATCCCTGCACAAATTGTAATTTAAATAACTAACCATCTTGTACATTACCTTTATTATTTTGCTTTTTTTTTTATATCTTATTGTCAATTTTATATTTTTGATTCTTGACCTGCAGAACATTCATCATCATTCTTATTTTCCACCTAATATACTTTTATTGTTTTATTCACTAAAATACCAAAGCAAATTCCTTGTATGTGTTACTTGGCAATAAAGCTGGTGTTTCTGATTCCGATTCTGATTCTGACTAGAGCAACATATTAAAATTACAATACGGAAAACCATGAAGACAAAGTTATGAATAGACTGTAACATTTTTGGATCAGGGAGGACTTTGAGCAACTTGGGGTGTTGTTAAATAGAACTGAGTGACATGACCTCCTCTCCAATATTGAGACCTGGAAGAGGAAATTAAAACACAAACGCACAAGAGGCAAAACGTAAGTACAACATTCACAAAGATAGGAGAAAGGAACAGACACACACAGAGGGAGAGAGAGAGACGTAAGAGGACAGCCAATGGTCCAGCACAGAGAAGAAGTGAAAAGAGAGGACAAGGAGGAGAAACTAGAGAGAGAGAGAGAGAGAGAGAGTATGAACAAATATTTTTTATTCAGTTGTTCTGACAGTTGTTTTCTCTTCCGGCCTTATCCCCTCATTTTCTGCTGTACCTTAAACTCCCCTATTCCCTCACCTTGTTTGTCTCTCTCAGATCTATTTACGATGACCAGCCCAATGCCCACAAGCGCTTCATGGAAAAGCTGGATGCCAGGATAAGGAACCATGACCGTGAGATTGAGAAGATGTGCAATTTCCATCACCAAGGCTTTGTGGACGCCATCACAGAGCTCCTCAAAGTCCGTGCTGATGCAGAGAAACTGATGGTAAGAAAGATTACTTGTAATGAGGACTACAGGCGAGAAGAGGCGATAGGTCTGTAATAAAAATATAGTGGCTATGTGAACTCCAACCAACTGCCAACTAGACTGTTAAGAGAACCAAAATTAGCATAATAGTATTTTAGAGAGAAAACTAGAATTCATTCTGAAATAAACCACTATATCACCGCAGAGGTATACATCTTCAAAGAATTCACTCTGATGAATAAGAAACAGCAGGGGAAAACATTTCTTTTATTATTGTTGTTGTTGTTGTTGTTATTGTTATCCATCTTAATTAAACTCTGCTAACTTTCAGGCATGATCACTCGATCATGACTGGACCCAAACATGTGACACATGCACTTGGAGGACACCTAATAAAATAGGTGTACATCTAATACTTACAAAATATAGTTCTACAGCTAGCTTTAACTTTAAATAGAGTATTTCACAAATATAGACTTCAGTTGGTCGGGCCGCCCAGGTATATTAACAGCTGCCAATGTATATTTGACCCATTTTAGCATTTCACAGAGAAACACACAGGGAGCTGTTATTTATTATGTTACAAGACACGGACACGGTGGCTATTTTACAGGCACAGAGGAACAGTGAACACTGCTGATAGGGCTGTGCGATATGACGATCTAAAACAATAGAAAAACTTCTATTGTTTACAATTATGCTATATAATTTATATCGTTGTGTTTAATGACTTGCCCACAGACATACAGCTTGCTTTGTAGTTCGCCAAGACATGCTGCTGTTGTGATGTTAGCTATAGCAGCAGGAGAGCTGTGTTGCTAGTGTCAGGTAGGTTGTGGATTAGCAACCTAACATTAGTTACATTACTTGCATACTTGCTGTGTCGTTGTTCACTCTATCATGGTATATGTCCTGGTGTTGGATTTCTCCAGAATCACTTAAGTTACCCCACCTTTATAATGCAGAGAAATATTGAGTTACAGTTGGAAATGCCATATTTCATTGAATTTACAGTAAATGTTCTATATCGAGATATATATTGTTATTGGGATATGAAATTACCTATATTGGGAAATACATTTTTTGTCATATCGCACTGCCCTAACTGCAGATGTCATTTGGTATCACTTTGGTTTTCGATCCATATGCGGCCTGTACCTGTGAAAACGGAATTACGGATGAGTTTATTAAACGTGACAACTTTATAAAATGTACTGCTGATGGACATGAGCAAAAAGACAGAGAGAGGCGGGACCAGCCGGTGTGTTTGCAGCAGAGGTCTCTGTGTGTATGTGTATGAGTAAGTAAACTAAGTAGGTGTGAGTAAACGCTTTTATAAGGTAGAGAATATAGTAGAATTAGCTGAATTTGATCAATCCTATGCACCCAAACAAAACCCACACAGGCACAGGGAGAACATGCAAGCTCAAACACTGCACCACTGTGCAATCATATCACGGCATGTTTCTGGTCATAGAGAGCAGCAGTCACAGTTAACAGAAAGTTTGCAGTGGAGTTAAATATAATTCGATGTGTGTTTCTGGAAAAGACAAGATAACTGAGTTCTTTTCAACTTGCTTCATATTGTTGTCATTATCAACCACCAGCATCAGAAACTTGTCGGAAACAACACAAGGAGCCACATTTGTTGTGGTCCACATGTGGTATCTCTATTGTCGTTGGCCTGACGTGTAGTTTCATGTTTGCGGAGGTGTGTGTCTGCAGTCCATGCTCTTTGTGCAGATATAAGCCTTTACTAGTGTCAGTTTTTGGACGCAAATAAAATATAAATTGCTATCCTGTGTCGTGGGATACAACAGTAAGATTCTTTATTGGCCAATCTGCTTTGAAGTGACAGTATGGCAAGCTAATGACTTGGGAGGTACCTTCAAGCCCTTTGAGTTTGCAGGAATTAGTGTTTGAAAGTTTATCTTAACTCTAGAGTTTACAAGACCGGTTTGGACAGCAGGCCCCAAAAGGGATAACCAGATCTGTCATCCAGAGGAGATCTGGAAGTGCTAAATAAAACATGACTCCTGCTCTAAATTCTTCATTTCTCCATAATGGGAATAAAAATAATAAACTTTATTTATAGAGCAAACAAAGAAGGTGCTTCACAGAGACACAAAGACATGGATCAAATATAATACCACAGTGATAAAATACAATCATTTATAATTTAAAACTTTCTGAGCCTTAAAAGTAATCAAGAAGAAACCAATCCTAAAACAGACCAGGAGCCAATGTAAAAAGGCTAATACAGGTGTGGTGTGATTGTACCTCTTGGTTCTTGTTAAAAGCCTTGAAGGTGGTTTCTGTACAGTCTGCAGTTGTTCCAAGGTTTGGAGGTAGCCAATGAGAACAGACATTGTTCCATAATGGAAAGATCATAGGTTGAAATCCCTGGTGCAGCAAGTTGTATTAGATAGAGAATTGTCTAGGTTAAGTGTCACTTGTCTCTCTGCTCTAAATCAATCTCAGTGTGGTGCTGCAACCTAGCTGAATTTAAAAAAGGGGCAGTGATAATGTAGTTGGGCCCCCTTGTTCGAAAGTTTCGCTGTTGAAAGGCTTCGTCATCAAAAAGCCGACTGGTCAATTGGGTCATGGCTCTCAGCTGTGTGACAGGAGCCGAGAGTTCAAAAATCCCCATCCAGAATTGAGAAGTTTGTCACTGAATCTGTGAGAAAGGGCCTGTCACAAGCCATTAAACCCCATGAAAGGCCCAGTGCACCGACGATGGGTTCAGGTCCCCGCTGCCTGGTTAATCTGAATTTGACTGCCTTTGTCCTTGCCTCTTCATGGACAATGAGCTGATTACAAGGCTGAGCAGCTGCAGCCAGGGAGGTAGAGAGGGAAAACAGAGGGCATGAAGAGGGAGCAGACAGAGAGAGGAGGGACCGATAGACCTGTGACAGCATGTACGCCTGAACCAAGGCCGAAGTTTTCATACATTCCAAAAATGTATTAAACCTTAACATTTTTTAAACATCTCCCTAAGAGAATAGCATGGAATGAAACCACAGAAACATTACTATGTCAGTGATTGGTGAATATCTTTACCACCTCCACCTTAAAGGGAGAGTAAATGATTCTGAAGAAGGCTTTTTGATATTTGAACTCAACTGCCAATCGAATACACCCCGCCTCTCAGAAGCTCCGCCCCCTTAACTTCAAATATCTGAGGTTTCTCCAGCTTTGAAACACCTTGCCCTTGTCTGGTCATATAACTTTCTTCTTTGTTTATACTCTACAGACCATTTCCTCTTTGGCTGTTACTCAGCCACCTCTCCTTCTTCACAGTGCCTGGAGTCCAGCACTTCCAATGTGCCTGTGTATAGAACTCTCTCTCCCACTGCCCCCAGGGCTTAAAGTCCTCCAGCACAGTGCCGGAATTCTGGCATGGGGCATTTTCATATTCGACTATATATTGGTATATATATATATATATATATATATATATATATATGTTCGTGGAAAATCTTCTTGCGTATTTTTTTAACTCTCACTGATATGTGTGTGAAACGCCAGTCCTCAGCACAATCTCTGTCGGTGCATGCACAAAAGAAGGGGACTGGCACTTCCTGACTACGTGGACACTCATTGGCTATTGTAGGCTGTGGACAGGGCATCGGATTTTCTATTGGGTCAATTAAGGTGTCACTCAAAAGGTCAAGGTGTACTGTTTTGTTTACATGCTAACTGTAGTTAAACCATGTAAAAGCAATCAGTCCGTGTGAATTTATTGATATAAAAATGCATTTTGAACTAAATATTTTACTGGATTGGACCTTTGCCAACATAAGAAGGCCAGTTTTGTCGGAATGTAATCCATCGATAGGTTACGGCTTTTCTGGTAAGTGGCGTAAATTTTTAATATTAGCAGTGCTTAAAGTGGGTCATCGGAACCAGTACTTATTCTTTTTACTCTTCGGCGTAGTGGGACTTTTCTTGGGTACAGGTGTCCTCTCCGTATCAGGTTCTTTGGGCACTGTGTGACACTCACCTGTTCTCGTTCTCACCGGCCTCCTAATCTCTCGGTCGAAACAGAGGAGAAAGAAGCTCGGGTGCCTTTCATGCAGTTGTGTGCGCAAAGTTGCTCATCAACATAGCTTTTTGTGAACCGACTAATCACAGCCTGGAGGTGGCAGGACACTAAAAAATGTTGAACTTGTTGTTCTGCTTGAATGATTATTGACGAGTAGTACTTAGCATTAACTAATTAGAAACTGACCACCATGTAGATCTTTTTTCTTACAGGAATTTAATAAATGGAAACAACCCACACAAATGAAACTGCTGTCCAACTAGAACAAATATTATACTAGTGGTAAGATATATGTAGGCTTTCTGAAATTATAATGAATACACTAACATCAGCCCTAAATCCGGTCGATAAACAAGGCAACATGTAAATGGATATAATAGTACCAGCAGGGCTGGGAAATAAAACAATAATAATTATCTCAATTTAATTTTCCTCAATAATAATATAATAAATGTTCAATAAATGTTTAATTTAATTCATATAATTTTATTTTGTTGAGGAAAACGGACTGTAAACAGATTTTCCCTTATGTTACTCATGCATATTTGTCGAAAAAAGATTTTGTTATAATTGTTTTAAATGTTCTGTGCTTAGATTGATGAAGTGTCCACTGTTTCGCATAAAGTGGCTCAGTTAACTGTCTGGTTTCTCCAACTTTCACTCAGGAGGAAAAATCAGCCATTAAACCTAAAAGAAACAATGATTTGACATTTATTGTGATAATTATCAATATCCAATGATATGAAATGTTTTATTGTGATAACATTTTTGGCCATATCAGCCCTTTTCCCACTTCGAGCATTGATTATAGGTGGTGGCAGAAAAGTTTTACCAGAATGCAGGAAATGAAATGTTTAATGCTCAGTTTTTTCAGGGGGAGGACTCCCAGACCCCCAGATTGAATATTTCTTCATAACAGTGTACAGTTATTTTCTCATCTTGTTCTTACCCAGTATCGTAATTCCTCATGTCTTGTGAGCTAAGTGTATCATCACCCCCCTAATCTGAGCCACTATGTCCCCATCAGTTTTCAACACATGTACTTGCCCCTTACCCTTCATCTTTGCTGTAAAATGTTCTTGCTTTAAGCCCTGTGCCCCCATAACTCCTGTGCATACCTCCTGTTGCAGATTGACTGGAACAATGTTGCTTTCTTTGTTTTCAGAGCACACACGAAACTTAACAGTGATGAAGTATCACTTACTTTCCCTTTAATCACACTAATTTAAAGAGGTCAATTTGAAAGATATTTCAAAATTAAAGTTCTAAATATTTAAGCCTGGGCCTTGGATCTGGTTTTCAATGTGCAACAGTTCCTGTAAGAAATAATAAAATTAGAGGCTGTACTGTTAAACTTTGACGTGTTTGTTTTGAAAGGGTCAAGTGACAGACACTAATCGAAGACTACAAGAGGCTGGGAGGGAGGTAAGTCCATGTCCAACAAAAACTGTGCTTTTTATTGAGCTGTCTGGACAGAGTGTATGTATGTTCATTAACTGCAAAGACAGTTCTGCATTAGATGTGACCGTTCTTTAACCCAGTAGTAACAGTGAGGAATTCTTCCCTCAGGTGACAGCTCAGACTGAGGAGGTCATTCGCTGTCGGATCCAGCAGAGGAACATGGCCACCACTGTAGAGAAGCTCCAGCTCTGTATACCAGGTACCACTGCTTATTGCGTGTCAATGTGATGGTCACCTTAATTAGATGGTAGTGTTACTCACCTGACTGACCTTAGAGTGCTACTGGAGTGTACATGTACTTGTGCGTACAATATGACCAGTTCAGCACCTTGGAGGAAATCTTGGGCGTGTTGAGTGAGACATCTTTATAACCATGAAATACAAGTAATTAGGTGGCAGCCGTGATAAGAGCTTATGTAGTTAAAGAAAGCTGTTTTAGTATAGATTGTGCAGAGGTATTATTTGTAAAATGAAAGGCGGTACTGCTGTCCCACAACTCCTTGTTCCAGAAAAAGAAGTCTCCAACAGTCTGTGCAAGTTAAATACAGACATTTTGAGTTTAATGATAATCATGTTTTTTGGGGTTAAAAGTACACCAAATATTTGTTGGTAAATAAGGCTTTCATTGACAGCACAAGTACTGAGTCACAGAGGGGATATTTGCATCTTCAATTGAGCCCTCTGGTAAAATGAAATTGATGGTTTGGCCTCATCTTCTAAAAATAACATCAGACATGAGATGGATTGAGGAACTTTTTTGTCCATATTTGTCTTTAATATAAACGTATGTATCTTTGTATGCATGGTAAATTTGTTCTTTAGGTGAAAAAGCGAGTGAAATGCCTGAACCAACAAACCCTGCCTTTGCTTCTGTTTCCTGTCTTCTCTTCCTTTGCAGTGCTAGAAATGTACAGCAAACTAAAGGAACAGCTGGACTCCAAAAGGTAATGATGTGTAACTGCAATATTTAAAAAAACAACTTACAGGAACTTCAAATTTTTACAGAGTTGCATTGTTTTTCTCCACCCTATGGAACTGTGATGAACAAAATAATTTTTTCAACACTAGACAGAGGACACTTGAATTAACAACAAACCAAACATTCAATTTGCGAACCCAAAAGCATCTAAAAGCGCAATATACTGACCTCAGACAGATATGAACTATGAAAACAACATTGAAAATAAATATAACTAGAACTGCAAGCAGTTGTAAGAGGGGTCCAAGCCCCCCAGCACCAGCTGCGCCCCTTACAGGCAGCAAAAGTCTATCCATCTCTTAACTCTGTCATCCTGATAATCCATACTGTCATTTTATTATGTTGGTCTATTCTGTATTCGCAGCACCTAGTGTATGTCTGTCCGCCCTAGGAGAGGGATCTCTCCTCTGTTCTCGTCCTGAGGTTTCTTCCATTTTTCCCTGTTAAAGGTTTTTTCTTATCCGAATTGAGGGTCTAAGGACAGAGGGTGTTAATTTACTTCAAAGTAAATGAAAATGTTACAAAAACAACAAAACATTTTATACACTTTTCTATTGTCCATTCTAAAGACATGTTTCTAGCTAGAAGTAAAAAGCATGTTAATCAATTTCCTACTAACTTTTCATGTCTTCCGCTGTGGGCTTTGATTGAACTTTATTTTTACCCTGTGAACTTCACGTTTGGCCGTATTTACATTCATATCTGTATAACGAGGGGAGGGGAATTTACTTTAAACAGGAAAATAATGACCATTTCTTGTTCATTACTGTGTACCAAAGGAAGAGGCCATTCATGGCAGGACAATTGACCCTCAGTGAGCCCTTGTTCACAACAAGGCCCCCTCACTGCAGCTCTGTCATGGCTCACAGCCAATCCAAGGCAATTAGACCATGCTGGCCATCATGTGGGATTTGTGTGTGTGGAGTGTACTTGATGCACTAATTACATAGCCTATACACTTTTAGATTAGAATGAGTTTGTATGGTGCAAATGCACATTATTATCTGTACTGTATGTGCTGATGCCCAGGTCAAATTCTGTTCAATGCCCTGCCACTTGCAGCCTTTGTGCACACCGTCCTGGTGCTCTGCACTCTGGCAAACCTTTTCAGTGTACATTTTATGAGTGTGTCTTCTGTTCATGTGTATACAACACATTTTACACTCACTGACCGACCAATTTGATCCCTTCACAGCCTGCCTATCAGCCTAATGATGGGAGCTCAGCACACTGACCCAAGGCTGAACCCGTGTGATATGTGCACACTATAAAAGACTACAATATCGTTATAACACAGGCAACCAAAGAGGCATTGAGAATAAAAGATGACACTGCACGACATACATATAGCTCTTTGCTTTCCCTGTTAGACCTTAAAATATAAAGCGATTAGCCTATCATTAGTGTATCTAAAGGAGTCAACGCTATCTTCCATATTTTATTACATTCATCCATTAGGTGCTTTCTTGTTCTCTGAAAGCACTGTAAGTTCTCTCAGAAGATCATCATGAATTCACCTGTCTGAACTAGAGATGCACTGATGGATTGGCTGGTGACCAGAAAAGGCCGGTTTTCAGCCTTTTTGGCCATGACTGGTGAAGAGGCCAATCAGCATGAAATGTCTTTTCTGCCAGTCACATTTAACGTTTTACGCCATGTTTTACGTCATATGCACCGCAGCACAGACATCAGCAGACTATTGTAACAGCCACACACACACACACACACACACACACACACAAGCATGTTGTAGGTGTTATAGTTCTTCACAGTGAGTGAAGAAGACATAACGCTCGCAATTTACACCTACAGAGAAACACAAAGCGAGGCTATCTGGTATTACGTTTGAAGATGCGACACTGTGGATATTTCAAAGCACAGAACAGGTAAAGCAACACACCTGTTGGTGCTGATGGTATTTAGTACCTATCTAGATCGGTTATTAACAACAAGCCTCCTCCATGCGCAGCTTTTTAACGTGAGTTGTCTTTATAAAACTGCTGACAGACAACTGAAGTCAACAGAACAGACAGATACAGGAAGAGAGAGAGAGACAGGAGTAGGTCTGTGTGTCTGAAGGGAAAAGCTATTTAACAGAAGTTATTTAACAGTCAGTGTTTAATTGTGTATACAGTTGAATGGACCCCAGTGAGAATAGCCCGTGTTTTTACTGGTGCTAATGGGAAGAATTTTCCAATAAAAGTTACAAAAATGTTTGTGTATGCTGTCAATTATAGTTCTTAGAAAGCAAGACAATTGGAATCAAACACTTTTTTTATATCAAGCCCTAGTTCACATGTAACAAGGCAGCATACTCATTGAACCAAATACAAAAGTAAACATTTCCTTTGAACACCAACACCCCCAGTACCGGAGGCAGCACGCGATTTTCGCGCAAGATGCAAATGGGAAATTCATGTCTGAAACTAGTATTGCATCACCCTGTGCATGCTACACACCTCTGTGAAGCTAGGAGGCTCAGCTAGAAGCTCAAACCAGCCATTTTTATCCATACCAAACACACATCAAACACCAAGCATCTAAAAAAGCTTATATAACAACATAAATCGCTCTGTAATCACTGTACATGGCTGCAGTTCTAAGCTTCTGGTTATCTCTAATCACAACGTATCCTCATGTCCAACCTCTCAAACCAAAGCTAATCTCCCCCTGAGATTAGTTGTAAAGCTCACATCACTCAAATCACCAAAATTACAGTCAAAAAATCAGCTTATTTGTTACTAAAAATATCTCGGCCGCCATCTTGATTATTGTGCAAGACCTGGGAGTTGTGTGCCTGCCTTCTCTTGCCTTTTCTGCAGAGAGGGGAAGTGCCGCTTTGGCACAACCGGTCTTGTAGGCGACTTGTAGGAGCTACGTAGACATCCAGGGTATCAAATGAAAGGTCTGCTCAAGCCGGATCGATTGAATGTATAATTACAATTGCATTCCAAGTCTATTAGAATATATACAGTTGCATTATAATCTATCTTATGATGGTTTTGATGTTCCATTGCATTAAAATATAGCTTTTTTACCAGGCAAGGATGAAAAAAATAATTTTACCATTTAGACTGTTATGGTAAAATAAATATCTTGGATTTATATTCCTAGCTTCTGACCTTTCAAAGGAGAATTATGCATCTAGGCCAAATAGTCGAGGAGTTATGCCTGATTCATTTTGGGTATGTTATTTTAGGCGCTTTTCCTGGAAAAGGGTGGCTGTCCCCACCAGAGGTTCATAATTTAATATCTGTCTCATTATTTGTAATTGTCCCTTCTGTTCATACACTGTAACTTCTCACTTATTTTGACAAATTAGCTTCCGATACACTTGTACACTTGAAATGTATTTATGCACAGAATGAGGACTGTGGATTTTGTCATTTGAAATGGAAGTGCATTAGGAAGGGATGTGCCTAATGGCCAGTGTGAATAGGAGGAATGACTACAGCAAGTAAAACCTGTTTATAAGGGCACTTGTATATAAACTTTAATTTAAACAGGAAAGTCTCATTGAGACACAGTCCTTGATTAACAAAGGAGTACTTGATTAGTGTGTTAAGACAGATGAAAAGCTGTGAAACCTTTTAATGGTTGTGACTAAAGAACAATAGCTGTGATTATATCCTTACTGAAACTACCGTTTCTTTCTACAGATACTATGCTGCATTGAAAACAATGGAGCAGCTAGAGAAGGTCTACATCCCCAGGTAGGATTATATCATCAAAGATGATATTTACCCTCTGTAGGCTCTGAAAAGTTTGTAAATTCTAGACAGCTTGGATTAAATCTGTGACTTCCCATAGAAAGCTCTGAAACCACGTCTACAGCATAATCCACTTCTCCAGTGTGTTATTTTTTTAAAATCACTAAAATATATTTTATTTATTATTCATTAAGTTCTCCTGACAATGAAAGAGATAACCAATTTTAAACTGAAACTATACCAAAGAGCAAATATACCAAAAAGATTTATTTCCCTCCAGGTTTACAGGTTGGTCCTGAACAAGACAGAAAGCAGCCGCATGACCCACCAGCTTACTTTAACTCTTTTGGTGTCACTTGTGTTGGTAGTTGCTGATCAATATGATACAATGATTGAAACTTCATTCCCATTTTTAAAATGTACTATCAGATATTGGAGTTGTGATGCAGTTTTGCAAAATGTAAATGATGACCTAATGCTGCGCTACTATCTTAACCACATGTAATTTCTAATAATCCAGTCTTTCTATTTTTATTTATTTACTGTTTATTTGAGAAGGGACAATGTACATTGATCAACATTAAAACAAAATGTAAATGTACCCAAGTTAGCCACAGGCTAGTTTTATTTTACACGTCTAACACACCCAGAGCAAGATTATTTTTCACTTAGAGTCGTGTGTTTTGGCAGTATTGAGAAAAATATCTGGCTCTTTAGCTTCACCATGTTCACCAGCTAGTCTCTAACTGTGTTTGTGTGGTGCTTGGCAGGTAGTAAAGAGTGTTTAGAACTTTTTTGCAGCTGCCTGCTGCTTCTAGAAAGGAGGTTGATGAGAGTACTGACACTGCACCACAACCGTAATGTTGTGGGCCATAAAACCAAATTAGAGCTGATGGGGGCAAAAACATTCTATAGAGTTGAATGGTGGGTGATTATCTGTGTGTTTGTCACTGTAAGGGACAGCTTTTACATCACACAGTGATGCATTGTCGGATATAAAAAGATATGATTAGGGCAGTTTAATATTATTTTATATATATATATATATATATATTATATATATATATATATATATATATATATATATATATATATATATATATATATATATTTAGTCTGTTCTCCCACTCCAACAAGCTGTTTTTACAGGATTTACATCTCATTAAAGAAGCAATTGTGTTCAGTCTATATAAAATAAAAGATAAATCTCAAATAATGTGTTACCAATAGAGCCCTCCTGCTGGTAATGTTGTGGGTGTTAGTAGCAGGACACTGATTCGTAGGTTGATAGTCTTCTCTCATTGGATTTGGTTAATTTGCCAGCTGTTTTTTTAATCTATAGAATTAGATAATGCTGATTAGATTGGATGTTTGCTGTGTTCCCCATAGGGTCAGTCAGTACAGGTTCTGTCAGATCATGGCTGAAAACCTTCCCAGACTGAGAGAGGAGATCAAGGAAATCTCCATGTCAGACCTCAAGGACTTCCTGGAGAGCATCAGAAAACACTCCGACAAGGTTGGAGAGACTGCCATGAGACAGGTATGAGAGATGTATTTAACAATGACCCCAATAGCAGTGTAAAGGTATATCAGCTCATTGATCTGGTGTGTGTGTGTGTCCCTCCAGGCACAGCAGCACAGGACCTTTAACAGTGCTGTAGCCAAGCAGGCAAGTGTGGGCCACTACACCAAGCCTATGTACTCCCTCAATGGACGAACACAGTCTCACACTCACAACGGCCTGATGGTGGATGACGACACAGGAGATGAGGAAGAAGCTGATGAAGAGGTGATCATTTTCATTGGTTGATGTGTTCAGCATTGCTGAATGACTGTAGAGAAAATGTTAAAGAAATACTTGACAGGAATCATGTTTCGTCTTCTGTGTCTGAAAGGTTCTTACAGCTCAGGACCTGGTGGACTTCTCACCTGTCTACAGGTGTTTACACATTTACACTGTGCTGGTAAGTGAATCTCTGTCTCTCACGCACACCCACACAGGCCCCATCCACAAATGGGATCATAGCAGTGACGTGGTGTTGCAGCATTAACCTTCAAGAATTTAACATGATTAATGAATGACCTCTTCACTGAACATTTTTGTAGAACCTCTGCTCTACTGAGGCAGCGAGCTCTTTACTGATGACACAGATACTAAAAGGTTTACAGACATGTTTGAGGACTCGATCAAAAATGGGTTGAAAGCTGTATCTGCATCTCTGCATACTGAATATTACATTTCACTCTTCATTTGAGTTTGATCAGCTGCATTCAGCTCAACTCATACAGCTACAACATAGCTCGGAGAATATTAGATGTACTGCTCTCATGTTAGCTGGCATGGTAAATGGCGCTGGAGGCACACATCATCTTTTGGAAAAGCTTTATTTTCTTTTTTCGCACAAAAACATTAAAGTGATGGCTTGTGGCAGCAAAAATAATCTTGATCTAACTACTTATCATTGTCAGTAACTTTTGGAGATGTTATTAAAGTCCGTTGTATTTCTCTGTGTCTGCAGGGTGACAGAGAAACATTTGAGAACTACTACAGGAAACAAAGGAAGAAACAGGCCCGTCTGGTACTGCAGCCACAGGCTAACATGGTGAGCAACACACAAACAGGCTCTGATGACCTTATGGTGCTTTCAGACCAAAAGCGAAGTGAGTGTTTGGGGCGTTGAGTTTACATACAAAGTCAATGCAAAGACGCTTAGAGCCGCGATTTCCTGCCTGATGGCCTATCAGTGTTGAGATAGTCCGTACATCACCGAGGCTTCAGAGGGATGTGTGGAGAGGGCCGGGCAGAGCGGGAGATTGAAAATCTGCTGGCCGGCTGAGAGCTGCTAAACTTGGGGGAGAGGAGCAGGGAGCAGTGCTGCAACCTTTGGACAAATTAAAGGTCGGTCAGATTCTGCTCTGACAACTACGCTGTTTACTCGCGGGAGGCGCTCGGAGTAAACTGCTTTTATTAAATTAGCTTTTTACTTAAGTTTTTGGGATTTCAACATTGATTTATCTTCACTGGAGCTTCCGTGCACATCCGGTTCCAGTGTTGTTGTTAGCGGCGTTAGCTCTGTCGGACTACGACTTCATATTTATATAAAAAACGGACAAAACTGGACATTACTTGGAGAAAAGAAAGCGAGGAGGATGAATTACCTGGTGAGTTCAAAAAAACATGTGTCTGTAACTTTATTCCAGCTATCATTGTACTTTACTGTGACCCATAGCCCTGATCGATCCGAACTCCATTCAGAAAACAAACATTTTAGAAGTCGTTGTCTTGCTGTCTTGCTGACAGACCTGACAAAGCATGAATTCATATGTTTAACAAATCTGCATCATGTTGTAGTTAATATGGCCTCAGTTTAATCCTCTTATTGCAATTTAATCACAGCAAAATGTTTACTTTGGGTTCATACAGCTGTAGTAATGGCAAGTTGTGTTTAGTCACGTTAAAATCGGCTTCTCGCGTTGTGTGTGAACACTTGCAGTGAATGTACTCGCGAGGGAAGCACCGTGAGGTGAAAATTCGCGTTTGGTCTGAACGCCGCATTACAGCCAATCGCTAATATACTAGCCTTATCAGGAAACACGCATATAATGCATTTTTATGAAATTCAAAACAACCTCATTAAATTTGCTTTGACCCAGAGAAAGTTGTTAGCTAATTAAAGTGAATTAACAAATAAGGCATTATGTGTAGAATTTGAACATTTCTATCTTTGTTGCCCATTTTGCTATCAAGACACCACTGTAAACAGCAATGCATGGTTCTACTTGCGTGCACTTCATTAGATTATACCAGGACAGCCCAGAAAGAATTTGCTCTGCTGCTCTTTATATAATTTGAAAGATTATATAGTTATATATATCTGTCTATATGTGTGTGTGTGTGTGTGTATATACATATATGTGTGTGTGTATATGTATATAAATATATATATATATATATAAATATGTCACATCGGCCCCTGTGAACGGGCACTGCACTAGTACTTTAAATTAGCTGCCCAATATTAAATGCTAAAATCTCACTGAACACATCAACACTTACAGTTTGCAAAACAATCCTTGCTCACAAATGCAACACCCCACAATGATAACTTATATATTTTATGCATTCATGTACTGTGTGTGTCTTTGTGTGTCCAGCATGAGACAGTGGAAGGCTACAGAAGATACTTCAATCAGATTGTAGGGTAAGCTGTTCCTCCCATTTTCACTTCATTGTCTGAATACAGATTTTTATCTTTAACATTACATTCTGCTGACTGTGTCGGTTCTGTTTGTTTCAATTTTACATAAATAAAAGTATTGAGATGTGTGTGTTTTCTGTGTGTCGTCAGGTTCTTTGTTGTGGAGGACCATATCCTCCATGCCACACAGGGGCTGGTGACCAGAGCTTTCACTGATGAACTGTGGAACATGGCCCTGTCCAAGATCATCGCTGTGCTCCGCACACACTCAGTAGGCTTTCAGACAGACTCATACACACATGCATGAGCACACACACACAGCCAGCAGGGAGTGGACTGTGAATGAGAAGGAAACTGTAGAGAGTTAATAGAAATAATAGAGCCTGCTGTGGATCTATTTATCCTGGAAGAGCATTCATTCACTGGCTGATACAGACACACAACACTGTGGAGGTCAGTGCACCCACAACACACTAATGATGTCACTCTCAACGGAAGAGGTCAAAACACACATACGCATGCAGCCAAAGAGGAGGTCATTGGGGCCTTAATGAGAGACAGATTGCAACAATAACAGCAGATTAAGAAGGCATATTCCTGACCACTGGGGTCCAGTCAGTTGTAAATGACCTAGAGGATTATGCTAACAGGCCAGAGAATGGGTCGCACAGTGTGGGGTGAAAAGACTAACAAAGGCTCTGGTCTCCCCCCTGGCCTTCAGCCCCTCTTTTGGGCCACGGCACAGGCAGCTCCACACTGCCTGGGTCCTGCCTTTACAACTGCAGTATGGTCAGCCCACAGGGAGAAAGTCTTTTCAAACCTGCCCATGAGTCAGTCCCCTTATAAATCAAATAATAAAAGGTATTCATACTGTTAGTTCTGACAATGTTTTGATAACAAATAACAAATCGCTCACAACTTTACCAATTCTGATCATCATTAATAACAACAGATTAAAAGAGTACTCTTATAATGGTACATACTGCACAACTAGCATTTAGCATGGATCAGAACATGGTAACTAGACTAAGAAATGGTCTAAACTGGTGATGTACACTCCTGCCACTGCTGTGATTTACTGCTGTATAGTTCAGTCTCCAGCTGATTGATGCTATGTGTGTGTCTGAGTAAAGAAAGAGGCAGGCCGTCCCTGCTTTACATCAAGTCTCAAGCTGCGTTCGTTTACTCTGTTGATTTACACACTCCTGTGTTTGACAGTATCCTTGTGTCAGTGTTAAGGGACTCAACTCTACTTCTTTCAGGGTCATAAATCACTCTAGAGCAGTCTAGAAAAAAAGGAGGGGCTTGATTGACCCTTGGCTAAGCCTCTCCCCCTTAGTTATTGTTGCTACGTCTGTCAAGCTTTCTATTCATTTATGTCATTTTTGTAACAATGAAGCTGTGTGTGAAATCATTTTTTTTCTCACTCATTTACTATTCCCTACATAAAATGGAATAGTGAATAAGTATTTTATAAAGAACAATGAATTAGTGTTTTTCTTTACGGTTTGAAATTAGTCTTTAGTGCATCATTTGTATTTTTCACAACTTTTAAATGAGAAGCTGGACTGTTAGCAGAAAGTCAAGTCAAGAAAAATAATGCTGTATAAGTAGGGAGTGACTCCAGACAGAGGAAGACAAAAGCAGACTCTTTGTCTGCTGAAGTGCCAGCCATCGCTGGCAGCAGCAACTTTGGCAAATGTAGCTAGCCATTCAACATTAACTCTGAGTTTGTGGGAAACTCTGCTCCAGACTTTTTAATGTCTTTGGCATACTTGTAATAAATTGAGAAACCGACACAAGTGCCATCAGTGTAAAGATGGAAAGATGTCGTGCAACGATGGCAGAAAGACTAATGGCTAAAGCTAATAGGTCCTAGACAAAAACTTATCATCTTCACCAGTAGAAGATATGGAAATACAGGAACCGAATCGTATTCCAGGTCAGAGCTATTTAGTATTATTGTACAAGGTAAAATATTAGATCAGATTTAATTTTCCTGTTTGGATCCTACTACAACATACTTGGACCACCACTAAAAATGTGTTATTGTAAGATAAACTTTGAGGACGATGACCAGCTCATGTGTGGCGAACATATCTTGATTCCCATACTCTGGTCCTAAAAACAATGATGAACGATGAAGAAGAACACAGCCACTAACAAAACCTGAAATTCAGATAAAGTAGCATTTAGGACTGACCCCCTCACAGCTTTTTTATGTAATAATGTGTTTAGCTAATGAAATGCAAATTCTTGGCTGTGAAAGTAACACAAGGTTACTGTTGTAGCTAGTAGTTAGCCAGACATGCTAAAGAGAGTGGCTTACATTTGAGCAGCAAACACACTGTTTAATCAAGGCCTTATCTTGTGTTCTTTTTTGCTCAGGGGAGGGGTTTAACCAACAAGCATTTGTTGTTTAAATCGATGAATTTACAGAGTACCTTAACACAAACTCTGCTACTTGCCGTAGTAAATGACTTTTTAGTACATTTTAGAAATCTTCATGAATTTAACAACACAGTGCTAAATACAACTTATTAACATTTCTTCATAAATTATCACTATATTATTGTTGCTTCTGCTGTTATACATTTTTCCCCACATGCAGTTTTTGAGTGTTGTTTTGATCATTATCATGTTTGTTCCCAAGTCATACTGTGATGACCCAGACCTGGTCCTGGAGCTAAAGAACCTCATAGTCATCTTCGCTGACACACTGCAGGTCGGTTCAGTACTGTACTTCATTTGAATAGCTTGTGGCCTTGAAGTTTGTAGAACAACTGCGGTGAAGACGATTGTCTGTATGTGTGATGTCTGTGTATGTGTGTACAGGTTTATGGTTTCCCAGTGAACCGGCTGTTTGACCTACTGTTTGAGGTCAGAGACCAGTACAATGAAACTCTGCTGAAGAAGTGGGCACTGGTTTTCAGGTGGGCTGTGCTGATTTGACCGTCTGTAATTGCATTTCTGTTGGTCATTTTACCTGTGAGATAATCACATGAAAGCTGGTGTGTAAATCTTTAATTTATTTAATTTCTTGCACATTCATACATCATTTCATGAAATTGAACAAATGTTTAAAGTTGTGTATCTTGAGATGTTTCTGTCAGAAATATAGAGTGGTGCAAGGAGAAGACAGTGCAGTCTTAACAGGTCAAAATTCCAGCGTTTCATGTAGTATACAGAACATCTTTATTGTAAGGCCAGTGCAATGACCCTAATGAAGGCAACAAGTCAAAACTTGCCTTTCTCTTTCTTTATACTAATTCTTTATACTATGTGTTGCCAGAGTTTTTACCCCTTAAAGAAATGATCATTGTGCCAATAATGTCTACTTCTGTTTAAGACTAGAACTGCCATGGATTGCAGTATATCTAACACTGCCAACGGGGAAAATTTACCTGCTATTATAGTGCATTGATTTTGTGATTATTTCTGCTACATGTTGCTCAAACACATTTTGCTCAAACATTCTGCACTTTGGTTGTGCATTTCACACAGACAACATCCCCGCACTTCAGGCATTTACAGAATGTTATATTGTGTTAGCATTGTGCCTTCGCCATGCAGGACCTTCTTCTGTGCTCTACTGCATCTGAAGGGCACGTCCACACGCGGTGGCTCTTTTAATGACATCCACTCTGCGCTGTTTGCTAAATTATAAACACAGTTTGAATGTAAATGCAGCATACAACACAATACATTCTATTTAAAAGAAATTATTGACTATTCATAGTTTTCAGTCATGTGACATGCAACAACATGACCTGGAGAGCAAAACAACAACCAACATAGCGGCTCACACCGCGACTCCCCCGTAGAGAGACGCCGCAAAAGCAGTCAAATTTTATTTGGATCACCTTCAACTTAAGAAAAAGAATGATATGAACACAAACTGCAAGTGTTGGGCATATCTGATCCATATAATGTTACAGCCTCCGCTGCTGCATTTCTACCGTTAAAAACCACCAGGAACTTTGTGGATGAACTTTGAGAATAGATTCTCAAAACATTGAATATTCATACCAACAATGTCAGTGTGCACACTTGTTTTTTTTCACAGGGAGATCTTTGAGTTGGACAACTATAGTCCCATCCCAGTGGAGACAGAGGAGGAGTATAAACTGGTAGTCAGCCGCTTTCCTTTCCACGATGCTGAGATAGAGAAGGTAACAAGTTTTACCTTGCTTTACAGGTTTTGTCGTCTTGTGGGACATTTGACGTTTATTTTCTTTTAAGTCTGTAACTGAGAGTTGCCAGTGAACCAGTTTATGTCGACATGAACAATGAATAAGTCTTGAAATTATTTACCTGGTATTAGATGATATGAGTCATTTAATAATGTTGTTTTGTGTGTGTGTGTGTGTGTGAGAGCAGCAGGACTTTCCAAAGAAGCTTCCAATGTCTCAGTCTGTCCCTCAGATCTACACACAAGTCAAAGAATTCATTTACGCCAGCCTCAAGTTCTCAGAGTCACTACACCGCAGGTTGGCCTCACTGAACAATTCAGTATGTAGAGGTGGACACCAAGACACTTCTGTGTGTGTCTTTGTTGTCCGACTGTAGAATCTGTTCTTTTTAAACATAAACTTTGTTTGTGTATCCAGCTCAACAGAGATAGATGACATGTTGCGAAAGTCAACAAACCTGTTGCTGACTAGAACATTGAGCAGCTGTCTGCAAAACCTCATCAAGAAACCTCACATAGGACTGACCGAGGTAGGAACAACACTGCTTTTACTGATCACACACAAACACACGTCACCTACACCTAAAGGATTCAGTCCAAAATGTTACTTTTCTTCTGTAGCTGGTGCAGATCATCATTAACACCACCCACCTGGAGCAGGCGTGCAGGTATCTGGAGGAGTTTATAACAAATATCACCAATGTCTCCCCTGAAACAGTGCACACCACAAGACTCTATGGCTTGTCCACATTTAAGGTAAATGTGAATCTAGTGTGGATTCTTCTTTGTGTCTTTTTTTGTGTTAATTATACTGTTTGTTTCTGGAATGATGTGTTTTGTTACTGCTCTTCATTATTTTCAAACTCATGCAGACTGGCCTTAAACGTTGCATATTATTCTTTGACCTTGGTGCTGCAAGGCACTTCCAGGACCTGGTGACAGGCTGTTCTGCTTCTCCAAATGGAACTACTATATTATCCTCTCTTGCACTGTGTTGGGGAGTATTGCTGTGTATGTGAAGAAAGTAGTAAAAAGCTTTTAGTGTCTCCAGAGGGGGCTGTGTGATGTCACCGTCAATTACGGCTGAAAACAACAAGTCTGAAAATGAAAGAAATCTGAGGGTTCGAAGTTACAAAGAAGTGAGCTTACCCAGACCTCCGTAGCCCGCTGCTCATCTCTGCTAGAGGCTGTGTATTTAGTCCTGTAATGTCTAGTCAAAGGAGCTTATAAAATATCTTTCCCAGGATGCTCGTCACGCTGCAGAAGGAGAGATTTATACCAAACTCAACCAGAAGATCGATGAGTTTATCCAGCTGGCTGACTATGAATGGGGCATGGCTGAGTCAGACGGTCGGGCATCTGGATACCTCATGGACCTGATCAACTTCCTGCGTTCCACTTTCCAGGTCTTCACACACCTCCCGGTGAGTCTGACCCTCCTGCTAACCTCTGACCCACTGAACCCACAGCCTTTCTCTTGGAACTGTGGACATTGTCTTGGTTTTTTGACTCATTTTAGCTGCTTGAAAAAGGTTTGTGGCAGTGGTGAATGTGCTGGTGTTTTTGTTGATAATAGGGATGTGATCATTCTTTTATTTCCTGTTTTCTTTCTATTTTCCCTAAACCCCCAACTGTTCTGCTATCATTTCATCACATCCCTATTAAAATGTGTATAGTGTCTGAATGTGAATTGTATGTTGCGTTGGTGATCTGGCCATGTGCATGGTAACTGTGCTGTTCCTGACTTGTACTGCTTTTGCACACACTGACATTATCTACAACAAAACACATTTGGTGATATCTGAATGTGAAGGACTTGGTCAGTAAATGTGTGTTTTGGCCCTGAAAGCTGACATCTACAGTCTGTTCAGTTCTGCTCTCAGTGGGCCAGTTGCCTGCTCTTGTCTCCAACATCTCTTTTCATGTCTTGAATGAGTCCCAGCTTATTCCGTCTTTTGTTTTTCAAGATTGTCACTGTCTTGCCATCCACACCCCCTGTAATAAACAGCGCTGTAACTAAATTGTTTTACTAGAAGTTTTATTCCTTGATTAATTTGACTTGTCAAGCATGCAAGATATCTCTCGTTGAATTTACCTCCTCCTGTCCATTTATTGTTGCCACATTTCTTTTCCTGTCCTTTCCTTCTTTCCCGCCCCTTCTTCCATTTTTGGTTGGTTTGGGGGTGTCCCTGCTCAGAATAACAACAATGACCATGCGTCGATGTCGGTGAGTATTCCTGCCTGGCTGTTACAACACTATGCTGCCATTCTAGAGGCAGAGGGGAGGTGAAAAGCATGCTTATGTTTGGCTGTGGAAGCTCCACTACTCCAGGCTTGTTGGTTGTTCTGGCACCTGTTGTAACCCTTAGGACACTGAAGGACAGTGTTTACATTTGCGTTTTAACAATAAATACTCTAATCTAGTGGTGGAAATGGCCATGTTTTACTGGGGGAACCATACTTGGGTGTCGTTAATGTAACATTAAAATGTGTGTCTAAAATATGTTTGACAAATTGTTGTGTTAAACTCGTGTTTAGGGATGGGTATTGTTTGGTTCTTTATCAATACTCTAAAGTAAGTGTAGTTTCAAGAGTAATGTTTACATCAACAAAATCACTATATACTCTCTAAATACAATCAACGCTTTCTTCATGTTCACATGTTTACGATTGTTGAACAGGTGTATTGATAAAGTATTGGCTTTTTATTCGCAGAGGTTTTATTACACTTCCACAGTAATGAGCGTAGTTGTCGTCACCTCAGTAATCTTGGAGTTACCGTCACCTGGTTCATTTGTCCAGCGCGGCCTCTCTGCTCTGCTGTTCACTGACATTGCTGTGTGTGTGTGTGTGTGTGTGTGTTGTAATGTAACATATCATAATCACAGGAAAAATATGGTGGGTCGATAATGGTGGGTCGATAATGAGTTGAGAGTTTACTGCGTCATTTATTCAACACTTAAATACCCTGAAATCAAAATCAATGTGTATTTGTTTTTATTGCATATGCCTTGCACTATATGTCACCAGTACACCAGCATCTGGCCCAACAATGATAAAAAATGTTGTTTTGTAGGTATTCTTGATGGTATTTTAGGGTTTGTCATTTCCTGGAAAACGATTTTAAAATGTTGATGACCCATCCTGCACTCAGAGGCGTGTATTAGTTCAGAGACTCATTTAAAGAAAATGAACAGCTCTTATTGCACCAGTCAAATGTTAGCATTAAGGATGTTAAATGGGATGTTGTGGAGCGCTTACAAAGATATCACAAACACTAACTGTAATTTACAGATCCATTCAAAGTTTCTGTTCGATTTTCAAACACTTGAGGTTGGAAAGATGGATATTAAGTTGAAAAATACTTGCTCACAAAAGAAGCCAAATCAAGAACATCTGAAATCGTGGGAACGCTCACAATGCTTATTTGCATTGGAGCTATGAACATAATGCCCCGTGTGTATAACTGTTGATTGAGCCATGTGTTGGAGTACTTGTGCTTTTTGTTTCATGTGTGATGTTTTGCAAAGAACACAAGTTCAATTAATAGTACTATAAATGGTCTCAAACACTTCTGTGACATTTTTTATGACCCAATGACAATTTGACCTGGTAGGATGTTTTTTATATTCACGGTAAAGTGAGAGTTCATGAAATCTCTTCAAGTGTGATGTATATTTAAGAATTGTTCCAGTAGTTGTTTATTAGGCCAGGGGTTGGGAACCTTTTTGCTTTCATGATATTGTTATTAATTAGATTAATTAAACAGTAGTGTAATGTGTGCTTTGGTATCAAAACCTGCATCGTGATTGAAACGCCCCCTCAACCCTCCGCAAAAGAAATAAATACATTTTTTAACATTATACCGCCCTGTGAAAGCAGGCTTTAATCCCCACTGACATTATTATTATTTTTAAATCTACCTACTTTGCACCTGCCGGGGACACCTCTGGTCACTCACTGCAAACGCTTAGCTAGTATGGGCCTCTACAAAACTGCTTGCTCCTCCTTATTAAAGCAAATTATTGATGCAAACTAATCCTTTTAAGCTGATGAGGAGACGTTTCTTTTTGGATTTTAATGTACAAATACTCATGTTGCCTATTTTTTATATTAATGTCTACAGATAAATTTACATTTGCCATAAATGTAAAAGCACTGTGGAGAGCATCATAACCAATCAAATTACTTTACCCAAAAGGTTGTAGTTCCTCCCCAGTAGACTGATCTTTCAGTGTTGTTCATTTGTTTATTTATTATCTGCTCTACCTTTTCCAACTATTTGTTCAGAGATTTGGTAAAAATAATGGCCCAATATGATTACCATGAGGGAGTAATCATAGTGTCACACCCCCCCCGCCCCATGACTACCACGACCACCACGACCACCACTAAAACATTGAAATTTTAAGCTATTCCAATGTGCATCACATGCTCATGGACACAAGAGCAATGCTGCTGAGACATGTTGTGTTGGGGTTTTCTATTCAGACATGCTACGCACTATGCGCACAAAAAAAATTTGCTTCACCTCCGCTTCTACAACTCCATCCTAAGGGAAACACTGTATGCAGATTTGAAACTTTAATTCTGAACCTTTTCAATGAAAAAACACTAATGTATTACATTGTTGCTCTTTAACTCATACAGTTCCTGCACCTCATCAGACATGTCTTTGTCACCCCGTTATCAAAACAGGAGCATCAGATCACAGATTTGGGGGTTTTATAATGGTCAGGAAGCTATACAGTAGCACTGATCAATATACTACCAAATTCAACATCATTTACTCTTAACAACAGTAACTACACACCCAAATTCTGCTAGCTTGCTGCCTCTTATATTTTTATATATATATATATATATATATATATATATATAAATAGCATATTTAAATGATGCAGCAGATGACTGCAGGACAGCTACTGTAGGGGGTGTGGACCCGCTATGCCCTGCAGTTAGCAGGTGTCCTGAAATGTATACTTTGCGGCAGCTGATATGAAATATAATCTGCCTCAGAGTAACAATTAGATCATATGAATCCAGATTATTCCCCACCACATGGCCAGTGACCCAAACCCAAAATTGACCTGAATTTGGTGCTTGGCGGATGTTAATTTTGGACCCTGCATGGTGCAGAGAATGTACAGTGTTGCCGTGCCAGACTTCAGTTTTGTGCTGCTCTTTGCTGAGGCAGATAGGCCTCTCAGCATGTTTGCAGCAGTTGCCCCTGTTTTGGTTGTTGTTTGTTTTGGTTTTGTCTTGCTGGCAATCATCAGCTGTTCACTTTGTTTGCTTGCTCAGATAATCTTCAAGTCAAGCGATCTCTACTCAAATAGGCATAGGCATTCATTACAACATTCAGCTGCAAGACAAAAATTAGATTTGTGTTCAGTCTAAACACATCTAAAATGCCCAGCTAAATGTGTGTCGCTAAAAGCTTTTTGGGATAATGTAGTTATTAACTAGTTGGTGAAGCTACCAAATTTCAGTTTTACATGCTGCTTAAAATCTACACAATTGAGTTGGTATTAAAAAGCCTAGTTCAAAACTCAGTGTCAAACTTGTGTCTACTTCCAGTAATAGCCATGTTGCTGTATATATGATGATGCAAGTGACACGTAAGTCACGTGTTTTCCACTCTGTCCAAGTGGGGTTTGGCAGCTGTCAAAGAAGACACATAATTTGTGGTTAATGAACTTTTGAAATTGGGTGGTGATGGAGCAGTGGATAAGACGCCTGCCTTTGGTGTGAGAGACCCGGGTTCAATTCCCCACTGTGACACATCCACCAATGTGTCCTTGAGCAAGACACTTAACCCCTAGTTGCTCCAGAGGCAAGTGACCTCTGACATAATTAGCAATTGTAAGTCGCTTATATAAATATATATATATGTGATGGACTGGCGACCTGTCCAGGGTGTACCCCGCCTTTCGCCTGATGTCAGCTGGGATTGGCTCCAGCCCCCCGCGACCCTGTATGCAGGATAAGCGGTTGATGATGGATGGATGGATGGATATATATATGAATATGAAAATTTAATCAAGTATCTTTGAACACATGAGCTCACAACTCATAGGTCCCTGATCCCAGGGCTGGATAGCAGATTGTGCAAAGTGCTTGCTTTCCTTTGACTGATACATATTTGCACCTGTATTTCTGTTTTTCCAGAATTCAAATTGGAGCTAACAGTCTATTATATTTTTCCCTTCTTGCTCTTTATCCCCATATCTATTTTACTCCTATATCCTCTTCCCACAAACCCTCTTTCTGTTCTTTCACCATTTAACCTTTTACTCTCCTCCTTTTGCTCATTTGCATACATACTTTCTCATAAACCAATCCTTTCTGTGCACAATCCCTCCCTCTTTTTATTCATGTTCACCACCCCTTCCAATTGCCTTATCCCGCCTCTCTCCCTGCCTCCTTGTCCTCATTCTTCATCTTTCCTACATCTTTCCATCTTTCCCCCCTCTTTTCCACTCTCTCTTCCTCTGTCACCTTCCTTGTCATCCCTCCTTCCCATTGTTTCTCTCTCTGCAGGGAAAGGTAGCCCAGACAGCTTGCATGTCAGCCTGCAAGCATCTGTCCACATCACTGATGCAGATGCTGCTGGACACAGAACTCAAACAGATCAGCATGGGGGCCATTCAGCAGTTCAACTTAGATGTCATTCAGTGTGAATGTAAGTAGTCATTTTCATTTCTGTTGATATTATACTGTATTGTTATATCTGTAGCGCTGGAAAGTCTTCATATAAATTGAATTTGATCACAGCTTGATATAAACTTGGAAGAAACCATGCTCTACACACATGTATATATTTATTTCATAATTTCCAGATGTATTTCATTAATTCTATCTCTGCAAGAAAGCATCAGTGCAAATTAGAAAGTGAAGATAGACAAATGAAAACTAGTTTAATATTATTTGTAGGTTTACTGTCAAATGTGTTACTGCCCAACACTGGACGTACATAGTTCATCCTTACAGGTAGTCTGATTGAAATCATTTTTTATAAGATGTTAACTCTTAATCATAGTATCTACTTATACTACTACTACTACTAGTAGTACTACGACTACTTACAAATATCGATACACATCCTTAAATACAGACATAATATATAAAATGGATTTTAATTGCCCCAAATGTATTTTGAAAAGGCAACAGGCTGAACTGGGTGCCAAAAATCAATGTCATCATCATTTACTTAAATTATGATAAATTGATGCATTTTAAATGTTGTGAATGATCATGTATTATCTTCATTAAGCATACAAATTAGTGTTACTTCTCACCATGGTGCATACTGTTTAGTTATATACACATTATATACGTTCTATAGAATGAAGGTGAAAAGATGAACGCAGATGAGTGATGATGTAGGTTTTCAGCTGACTGCTATTCATTAGGCTGGTTGATAACTTAATGTCGTTAATGGTTAGGCCTATATTTATCACCCAACTCTAGTTGCTACTACTGGTAATCCAACTGAGGAGTAAATGATGCCAGTCAAGAGCTTTCATGTGACTTTCAGTTATATTTTGGTAAACAGTAAAGCAAGGAGTTGTTTTAGTGTCAGCTTTTGTATTATCATAAAAATATGCAATAACATCTATATCAGACACATATATATTATAATTGAGGACAACTTAGTTTTGTTAGGATGTATACCCTGAACACTGATTATTTTTTACAGTGTCAAAAGAATAAAACAACATCACAATTTACAGAGGTTTGGCGGTTAAACGTTACCCTTAGTACAGGTGGTTAAACAGGTGGACAGATACAGAGGCCAGCCCAATGCACTGTATCTGCCAGTATTTTCTTATTGCAGATATATCTGAATTGAAATGTACATGGGCCAGTAAGTAACAAGAAATTGCTGTACAGACATTTCAAAGATATGTTTGAGGTCAATTAAAAATAGTGACACCATCCCGTAGTTTGTCCATCAAAGAGCACTGACATTAACATTTGTTTTACCTGTAAAATGTACCACTGAGTAAATTTCTTGGTCACAATTCTTCAATAATCAAATTTAAGGAATCCTCCTCAAAAATGCTTGTATATGTTTAAAAAATGTATATCAGCCCAAATATCAGTATCAGATTTTTTCAAACTTGAAATTGTCAGAATTGGCCTCAGCAGTCCAGTATTGGTCAGGTGCTAGTGGCTAGCAAGTTGTCTGAGTGTGTTTTGAGGTGTATTTTAATCCTTCTTTGGTCCAGCACTTAGTTGAATGACTGTAGACCTCCTTATTGTCCACTGTGTTTATATGTGGCCCCAGCACTAAGAAGCAGATCTGAAGCCAGAGTTTTTGACGCTATCTATGTGTACTGGATTGTGTCTTCTGTCAAGTGATTGTTTTCTGGTGGCATATTTGTTTCTTCTCAGTATTTGCCAGTTCAGAGCCGGTCCCTGGCTTTCAAGGAGACACACTCCAGCTGGCCTTCATCGACCTACGACAGGTAAAGTGTCTCACTGAACAGTGCAGAAGAAATTAATTTACACAGACTTAGCCAGCACAAGTTTAGGACAGCTTCATTTACTGCACACATTTTTGTTTTATGTTAGTTATTTCATTTAAATCTGTCGTCTTTTGATATCATCTTTCCATCTAGATCTCTCCTATAAGAGTCCTTTCATTATTCAACACTACACAGAGTGCATGCCACTCTCAGTATACTCTCAGGCCCCATCCACACTACTCCGTTTTAGTTTACAAACGGAGAATTAAAACGAATACGATCTCCGTCCACACCAGCGTTTCCGCTGCGTTTTTGGAGTTGATCTCCGTCTACATTAAAACGACTGAAAACGCACAGCTAGGACCCGTTCAGGTGCACTGGGCATGCGCGTGCCGGTGTAAACATGAAGCAGATGGTCTATTCTGTAGTTACAGAAGATTTGGCGAAAGAATAAATAAATACAGACTAAGCATCAGACCAGTTTTTTTTTTTTTTTTTTTTTGTTGCATGGATCAATAACGAGCTGGGACTGTTACTGAATGTAACACGGTAGTGTGGCGTCAGAAAACAGACTGGGAGTTGTTGCAAAGTAAACGCCGACATGCACAGTACAAGTGTAGGCAGATGAGTGTTATTTGCATGGTACAGAATATTTTAATAAAAATACGATGTCAAAAACCCGGTCAGCAGCATCGTGTTTCTGCTTTGCAAGACCCAATCAGAGAGACAAGCGTGAGCGGCTGCGTCATCGTTTCTAAAGTCCTCCGTTTTGACCCGTCTTCACTAAACGCAGTAGTGTGGGCGGGGCCTCAGTTTCGAACATGTGAACAAAGCAAATAAAGTTTTAAAAAAATGTCCCCAGATTTAGTTTATAAATTAATTTCTCAACTTTGATTCTTTTCCACCTTTGTCCACTTCTATGGACAACTTCTCTGCTGCCCCACATCTCGTCTCTCTCTGTCACATTTAACAATATTGTGGTTCACTGGCTGCTTCTTTTGTATAACCTTTTCAACTTTCACCTGTCCTATAGTTCACCTGCTCGAGAAAATATCTGTTCCCACACACACAAGCACAAACCCCCGTCTTCCTTTTGGTGTAAACACCAGTGGTATGTGAAGTGTTGCTGGGTCTCATTAACTTGGTTCTGTGCTGACCTGTTAATCTGAGCCTGAGGGTGGAGGCTTGGCGCTCTGCATCAAGTCCAGGTCTCAGCACTATAGTGAGGTTTTTTTGTTGAATACTCTGCAAGAACACTGAAAACCTTAAGGTTTTTATAGTAGCATAGGACCTCTCAACCGAAGTAAATAAAGTAACCTCCCACAGTCAAAATTTTACAACACTTGGCTGTGCATTTTTGTAGCCTATTTATTAGTTTTAACGAGGTGATATTATGCTTATTTTCAGGTTCCTAATCTTATTTAGGGGTTGTACCAGAACAGGTTTACATGGTTTACTTTACAGCTCCTCTTTTCACCCTGTGTTGAAGGCTTTGTTTTATCTATGGAGTGATACATCTTGTTTCTAAATGATCTTTGTCGGGAGTTGCACATGCTCAGTTCCTAGTTAAGGACTACTAGCCAATCAAAAGCAGAGAAGGGCGGGTCCTGAAAAGCCGGTAAACACGGCTTCGGTTCAGCTGTACATGTTGCCGACCAGCTTGGCAACATGGACTGGAGCAAGACTTTCAGAGTGGTGGGTTATTAATCTGTAACAAAAGTATCTTTCATCCATAAAGTTTTAACTGAGCTCTGTCTCTACATCACAGGAACAACTTTATGTCCACTGACTGCCTGGAGGGTAGCTAGTGTTTGGAAGGGAGAGGAGAGCTGTGCTGCAGCTCACTGTTTTTCTGCTGGTGTTTTTGAGGGCGTGTCGGTTTTCAGACAGTTCAGAGCAGATTTTTCTGTGGGAGATGGGAACTAGAGAGCTTCATTGGGATTGGGATTCCACGGGACCCAACACAAATCGTGCGGGAGCAGGCAGTTTTAACTCTGCTGCGGGCGGGAGCGGGCGGTCAAAAAATATACTGGGGGTCCCACAGTAGCGCTAATAAGATGGAGTGAGTTGAAAATAAGGTAAATGTGAGTGTATGCGGCTGCTTCTGAGAATGTAGTACTGCACGGGCCTGACTCGAACCGGCGACTTAAGGTACAGGAGTAGGACACGTTGATGAAGAGGCCAAACCCCATAGGGAACTGGCGTCAGTCGCAAGTGCGTCTCTTAAGGTGTCGGAGAGTGAGGTTTACTCACTGCACAGTCTCGCTGGCTTCCATCACATGGGCTTATACAATACATGTCACAATGTTGGTGTGTGCGGGCGGGAGTGGAGGCACATGTTGCGGGAATGGGCGGTAATGGTCACAAAATCAGCGGGAGTGGCCAGGAGCAGAATCAAGAGTCCGCGCAGGTCTCTAATGGGAACTCCCTTTGGGCTGGACTTTGGGGCTTATTCACTATTACATTCACAAAAAAGGTATATAACTCAATAAAGGAGAGTGAAAAAGCCAAAAAGCAGTATACCACCTCTTAAGTCACATCACAAGACTTGAAAGTAGAGAGTTTGGGGCAGGTGTGTAAACGTCTCTGTTTAGCATCGTTTTGGATGGACAGGCTCTGGCTGCTGCCTACTCCTTGTCAATGCCATATTGTCACAGCATATATAGAAATATATAAAATATCATAGAAACTATTTTAGGAAACATCATAAAGCAATTCTACACACAATCGATTAATATTCACAGAAAACAATAAGAATTTATTTTCTCATTTAATCCGTGATTTAATGTGATTCAGTTGCTTTTAAACGTAATGCAACAAATATTAAGAATAAAAGTTCCTTCTATAAATAATGGAAGGAATTAATATTATAAAGAGTACAGTGTAGACCTGCTCTGTATTAAAAGTGCCTTGAGATAACTTCTGTTATGAATTGGATTGAATTGAAAATTCAATTTCTTTAAGAAAAATTCCTTTGGAAATCAACAGCTGCCTATCAACACAAATAACTGAAAGAACAGAACTTGTATTTGTACCAAGATTTTTGAGTTCTTTTCAGGAAAAGTTTTAGAAAGTTACAGACCTGAAGGGTTACCTCAAATTTGAATATACATTTAATTACTAAAAACGTTTAGGTTTTTAATTCCATCCATCGTCAACCGCTTATCCTGCGTACAGAGTCGCGGTGAGGTGTTTAATTGTAGAATGTAAATGCTTCACCAGGTTGCTGAAACCCCCAAATTCACAGGAAAAAATACAAAGGACATGACCTCAGTATCATCAGTGATAGCTACAGCCCTACCTGGGTCTTTTTTTGAGTAGAGCTTAGTTTCCTGCGTTGCACCTCATTAGACAAGATGTGCACCCTTTTATACAGGCTTCTTGGTTGACATGTTAATCCTAGCCTTAGGTAAAGGGGTTGGGAGGCATCCACAGGTTGAGGTTACACTGAGGTCATCCTTTGACTTTTCCATTATCTTATGGCTGATTTCTTTGCTATAGCTGCTTTTAGATTATTATCCTGTATCCCAGTGATTCCCAAAGTGTGGTACGTGCACTCCTGGGGGTGCATGAGCTGCCTCTAGGGAGTGCGCAACAGGAAGAATGGAATAGTGGTGGATTGCAAAGTTTAGCCATCACATTATGAGAAAAAGGTTCACTGCCACTGTTACTTTCTAAAGTAATAAATATACAATGTTATATCACGATGCAGAGTTGCAGTGAAAAGACAGAGAAGTGTGTTTAAGCGCAGTGAGCGTGTAAGGAGAGAGCCATCGCTTTCAAGTGTCACTTCGGGCATGTTCACTGGTGTAACAGGGAGTGTGTGTGTGTGTGTGTGTGTGTATGTGTATGTATATGTGTGTGTGTGTGTGTGTGTGTGTGTGTGTGTGTGTGTGTGTGTGTGTGTGTGTGTGTGTATATATATATATATATAATATAAATCCTAGTTGTTCTGGTCAACATAGAAAGATTTGTGTGGTGCTATGTTCTATGGTCTGAATGTTTTACACCTCAGTAATTATATGCACCACATAATGCATGTGTAAAACTTGAAACTTGCTCAGTTTTATCATGGTATTTTTCATGCAGCTTGAAAATTTTATTGTGCTTGATTTTACTGTTTTATGCCACAATACAGTTGATAGAAACAAAGTAAATACATGTATGAAATAAACAGTACTGTTGCCAACTGCCAAGAGACACTAGTTCTTATATGAATGCTGCTTGCCACAAAGTCAGGTAAAACTTATTTGCAAGTGTTGACATTCCCACAGTGACAAGCAAATAGTAGCGGAGGAAATGTGACTTTTATTATGTAATTTTTCTTCCAGTGGGTCTTCACCATCAGACTGAAATAAAGCGAATTTTTGAGGCGGCATGATTGCATGCGAAGTTAATGGAACAAAACCGGCAGATGCAAACACATGATTTTACTCCAGGCAATGCAAGTTGACACAAAGATGTGTTGTGTGAGATGAGCAAGAGAGGGGAAAAGATCATTCCACACACACAGTTGGTGCTTGCATTTCTACAGCTAACGTCTTGTACATTCAGTACATTGACTGTTTGGGACAAATAATCTTGGACATGAATACAGCCCAGAACTCAAAGTCAAACAAACAAAGCGTTTTTTGCTGGATTTTTTTAAGCAGATACTGGGACTCTGATGTGAGTAGGGATGGGTATCGCTGGTCGATACCTTTATGGTATACCTTTATGGTATCGACCGAAACAGCCCAGTATCAAGTAGAATCAAAACGTCTCCAGTCAAACCAGTACTTCATTCGATCCATTATGTAAACAGATCGCGGCAAAAAATTATTTGTATGGTTTTGCTTGCAGCCAAACACACAAACAACACACTGAAAGAAAGAGAAGAATACACCTTTTTTTCCCTTATGTGCCTACACCATGAACTGTATAAAAAAGGCCTGCAGGCGCCGAGGCCATGTGTGAACAGCCGCTCACCTTCTGCTGCTGCCTCAGGCACATTCATCACT